TAGCCCGCCGTGTGTGACGCTGTGTTTCGTTGTGAAAGCGAAACTACTATGTTTGGTCTTCCAAAAGAGGACACGGCTAGAAATCAGTGGTTAAGTTGTATTTACAACACTGTAACAGAACACTTCAACCCAAATATTCAGATGTGTGCAGCGCATTTTATGGAGGACTGTTTCCTGATCCTGGGAGAGTAGACTACAATGCCGGCTGTTCTGACTCAAAGACTGTAAGTACGTTTTTTTATATTTAAAGGATTTGCCACTGATGATTCAAACGTGAGTTTTGAGCAGTGTAGAGTAGCGCTTGTAGTTCGTCATTTCTCCGATCAGAAATGCAGACATGGTTTTATGTTTACGAGGCCCGATGCAATGCAGTGCGTAAAAAGACAGTATAACTCATTATAATCCGTAATTATGTCCCCACTGGATGCAACAAATGCCTCGTTTATAATGGGTTTTAATGTTTTTGTCTCGTCGCTCCGGCCGGACAGGTCAGCACAGTATGGTGAGGGGCGTAACATTTCCGTCACACGCTTGAGGTATTCGGCCAATCACAATGCACTGGACAGCTGGCCAATCAGAGCACACCTTGCTTTTCAGACCGATGAGCTTTGTAAAAATCGATGCGTTTCAGAAAGGCGGGGCATAGATGAGAAGCAACAACGTACAGTATGTGGAAAATAATGTGTTTTTTTTTACTTTAAACCACATAAACACATTTCATTACACCAAATACACAAAATAATGTTCTTTTTAGCAGCATCATATGACCCCTTTATAAAAAGTTAAGCTATAATCAGTGATGTTATCTGCAGTGTATGATGACTGAATCTCTTATTTACATCGCATGTACATCTGCACTTTGTTGTTTCTGATGAGAGAATTTGCCAAAGTGCACTGACCAAAACTTTTGCGTATCAGCGATGTTAATATTCAGTAAAATCCCCATAGAAATATTAAAGAAAAAATCTTGAACTAAAATCACAAAAGCACAAATATATATTGGTTTGCATATAACTCTTCATTTGTATGTTAATCTATAAGAGTTTGGGCTATTTAATATTAGGATTTTGTCAAAAATCCCCCACCATGGCCCCGCCCTGCAACATCAAGCCCCGCCCCCCAGATAAAAGATGTTCCCGCGGCTATGTAATATGGTATTTATTTGATCATGTATTTTGTGCTTGTGTGCTTTATTTTTATCTGTATCTGATAATGTAACACACACACACACAGTTTTTGTGTAAACATAGGGGTGTCAAACATAAAACCTGTGGGCTGAATACAGTCCACAACATTTTCCATATAAAATAAATAAAACATTATTTTGAAAATTAAATAAGTTTATTCGCTACAATATTATATTTTAAATTTAAAGTGGAACAAATTGCTCATTTATTTGAGATACACCAGACAGCTTTGGACAAGCTAGGGGTGTGCAATATTTATTGTCTGCTATAATATCATGATTGTTGTTTTAATGACCAAAAAAAAAAAGCCTTCACTGCAGGATGAAACCTGTAATAATTCAACATATGATATGGAGGCAAAAATGTCCTGTAAGAGTGCCATTTTCCAGAATATCAGTGCACTCACAAATGAATTGATTTTATACAACAGTTCAGCAAACAAGATGTCAGTATTAAATGAGTTATATTTTAGAGCCAATATTGTTAGTTTGTTTTTTTCTGTTTTGTCAGCAAAAATAGTTTTAAACAAAGCCAGAACATCTCTGAGCAACACTGTAGTGTTTTGTTGCAGAATTCATCTGTTTTTGAACAAATGGACCAATCATAAAGACAGTTGTTTTGTTTCCAAATGAATAAACTCTTATGAATTAATCTTTTTTAATGTGAGTCAATGAATCACTCATTAAGACCACTGCCTGGGGGTTATGACAGGCCTAAACCAACCACGGTACTAGCTCAAAAACACACTGTAAAATACGGTCTAATTGTTATCAACAAATTACCTAAAAATATAGAGAGATCTTTTATTTATTTAATTATTTTGGTATCGCACACTTTAAACATAAAATGAGCTAACATTATCTACAAAAAATTATATTTCTTGTAAATTATACTGTAGTTAGTATGATTAATATTAATTTAATTGTGAGCAAACTGAGGTTTAATAAAAGGTAATTCAGGCTGCATAAGGGGACATTTTCTTCGATCCGACCCTCAACCTAAAATGAGTTTGACACCCCTGGCATAAAGGAAATGTTTTTTAAGTGCTCTGTAAAGTGCTCCTTTTTTCCCAATAGCTGATTTGTTGGGTGTAGTGTATTAGCAGCAATATACATTAAATAAATCAATAAATCCACTGCTCTCTTGTCTCCTCTGAGGCTGGGACTCTAAACAGTGTTCTGTGCTCGTCTGTGCATCCAAAGACAGAACAGTTAGCATGCTTTGCGCAAACTTTCACCATGGCATTAGAGCTGGTACATCGTTGTCACTTGTGAAATCAAAATGACGGCACCGTGGGTGAAAACTTACAGATTAAGGGGCGGTAATATTATAATGAGATCCCTTTGCCACGTCACTAAGGGAGCGAAATCTGACGCACTCGATTTCTCAGACGCTTGCAGAAAAAGGCATCCCAAAACAAAGTTACTGGGTTAATCTTTTTCAGGTTTCCTTGGTTGGTAGATGCACCGGTGACCTGATTATAGCACTTAAAACCTAGAAAAGTCAGATTTTCATGATATGTCACCTTTAAAGAAATAACTTTATTTTCTCTCTGTTTTAGCTCAGTGCAGCAAAAGATATCAGAACCAGAGTCCAGCAGTGTGTCTATGAAAAGACACACATCTATGGATCAATCAACAAGTTTGAGTGGAGATGCACGGCCTGGTCTCAGGTATAGCATGTCTGTTTTTGTTTGTAAGGATATGATACAGAATTTATAAGACATTGTGCTTATTATTGCACTCATATAATAATGCTATTTTTTTTATTTTACAGCCATGAAGTTCTCAACACATTTAAATCAAATCTGATAAAGAAGTTTGAGTGTCTGTATGAGGAAACAGCGATGCAGAGAAACCCATCACTGCTGAATGAGATCTACACAGAGCTCTACATCACAGAGAGTGAGAGTGGAGAGATCAGTAATGAACATGAGGTGAGACAGATTGAGACACAATCCAGGAGAGCAGCAACAGAGGACACAGCCATCAAATGCAATGACATCTTTAGAGCTTTACCTGGACAAGACAAAGCCATCAGAACTGTGCTGACAAAGGGAGTCGCTGGCATTGGAAAAACAGTCTCTGTGCAGAAGTTCATCCTGGACTGGGCTGAAGGGAAAGAGAATCAGGACGTCCAGCTCATATTTCCACTTCCTTTCAGAGAGCTCAATTTGATGAAGGACAAAAAACTCAGTCTTTCAGGTCTTCTTAATTCCTTTTTTTCCAAAACAAAAGAAATGGAAATAGCCAGTGATGAATATAAAGTGTTGTTCATCTTTGATGGTCTGGATGAGTGTCGCCTGTCTCTTAAGAGCAAAGTGAAGCTGTGTAATATATCTGAATCAGCCTCAGTGGACGTGCTGCTGATGAACCTCATTGTGGGGAATCTGCTTCCCTCTGCTCTCATCTGGATCGCCTCCAGACCAGCAGCAGCTGAACTCGTCCCCTCTGAGTGTGTCCATCGGGTGACAGAGGTACGAGGCTTCAATGAGCCTCAGAAGGAGGAATACTTCAGGAAGAGAATCAGTGATCAGAGTCTGGCCGACAGGCTCATCTCACACCTGAAGTCAAACAGGAGCCTCTTCATCATGTGCCACATCCCAGTTTTCTGCTGGATTTCAGCCACTGTTCTGGAGAATATGCTGAGTCAAGCAGAGAGTGGAGAGATTCCCAAGACTCTCACTCAAATGTACACACACTTCCTGCTCCTTCAGACCAACATCAAACATCAGAAGGACTATGAGAAGAAGGTGACAGATGAAGACATGATCCTCAAACTGGGGAAAGTGGCTTTTCAGCAGCTTGTGAAAGGCAACCTGATCTTCTATGAGGAAGACCTGAGAGAGTGTGGCATTGATGTGACAGAAGCATCAGTGTACTCAGGATTGTGCACTCAGATCTTCAGAGAGGAGTTGGGCTTGTATCAGGGGAAAGTCTTCAGCTTTGTTCATCTGAGCCTTCAGGAACATCTAGCAGCTCTATATGTGCACTTCTCCTTTACAATCAAAAACAGAAATGTGTTTGATCAAACCAAACAAAGTCTGTTACCTAAGATTTTTAAGCAGAAGAAATATAATTCATTATCTGAACTGCATCAGAGAGCTGTGAATGAGGCTTTACAGAGTAAGAATGGACATCTGGACCTTTTCCTGCGTTTTATTCTGGGTCTCTCAGTGGAGTCCAATCAGACTCTCTTACGAAAACTACTGACAAGGATAGGAAGCTGCTCCTACAACAAAGAGGAAACAGTTCAGTACATCAAGCAGAAGATCAGAGAGAATCGCTCACCAGAGAAATCCATCAATCTGTTTCACTGTCTGAATGAACTGGGTGATGATTCACTGATGAAGCAGATCCAGGATTATCTGAAATCTGGAGAAATAAGAGAAACCAAACTCTCCTCTTCACAGTGGTCTGCTCTGGTTTTTGTGTTGCTGACGTCAGAAGAGAAGATGGATGTGTTTGATCTAAAACTGTTTGTTGGAAAACAACATAAAGCAGATGAAGTTCTTCAGAATCTGTTACCTGTGGTTAAAGAGTCTAGATCAGTTCGGTAAGTAACACTGAAAACAGTGTCACTCCACTTTCAAACCATGATCACATTTATCATTTTAAGATGTGCTGTTTTTAACCAAATTAACAAAATAGGAAAATCTCTTAGAATCACATTTCTGGCAGTGAGCAGGAGAGGTGAGACACACTTACTAAACCAGCTGGGAAGATTTTTGTGTGGTCTGTGTGAAAGCTGGATGATTGTAGAGGTCAGTGTGAAAGGTGAAGCTGAAGGATTGAATGTGACGGAGGTCAAAACTGACAGCAAACAGATTTGTCCTCTAATGATGTTGATATGTATATTTTACTGACTGTTTGAATTGCATTTGCCCGAGTATGGTTCTCGGACATCGTGTCCCTTCTTGACGGGTCTCCATGGAGGATTCCGATCAGGAGGGACCTTCTGACTCAAGCGGATGGCATGTTCGTACATCCTCGCCTGGAACTTTGGAGACTATGGGTGTGGCCTCCGAGGGAGCACATCTCATAGATTCCGGTCTCTCAACTGAGGTTGTTGAGACATCCTCCACTCCAGAGCTCCTTCCATGAGGAAACTGTATTCCTTGAAGTGGAAACTTTTCACTTCATGGTGTGGAGATCGTCTGCTGGACCAAGTTAATTGCCCAGTTGGTTCAGTGCTGGACTTGCTGCAAGAACAATTCTCTGCAGGGTTGACTCCTTCCACTCTAAATGTGTACGTGGCGGCCATAGCTGCTTACCACACCCTTTTGGACGGTCTATCATTAGGAAGAAATCTGTTGCTGACAAGTTTCCTCAGTGGTGCTTTGAGGCTGAGGCCTGGCATGGGATCCAACTGTGGTTCTGGAAGGACTTAGTAAGGCTCCCTTTTAACCTCTACAGGAGGTTTCTGAGAAGTTTTTAACACTTGAGAGTGTTTCTTCTTGCCATTCCCTCTCTCAAGAGGGTTGGTGATCTACAGGCCCTTACAGTGGCTGCATCATGTCTAGACTTTGCACCTGGGATGGTCAAAGCATTCTTGCACCCAAGGCCTGGTTATGTGCCTAAGGTGCCCACTCAGATTCCGCGGGTGGTAGTGCTTCAGGCATTCTGCCCTCCTCCCTCTCGGGAGCCAGACCAGACCAAGCTTAATTTAGTGTGTCCAGTGCAAGCACAGTGTAACCTACGTCTACGCTGTGGAGAAAGTCTAAGCAACTTTTTGTTTGATTTGGTCTGCCCAAGAGGGTTCTCCCAGCGGCCAAACAGACATTAAGCAGGTGGATAGTTGAAGCTATCTCCCTGGCTTATGAGTCCTCTGACTTCCCGTTATATTTGGGGGTCAGGGCCTACTCTAATAGGAGCATGGCGGCCTCGAAGGCCTTCTCATCTGGCGTGTCTCTACACAATGTTTGTGAGGCTGCGGATTGGTCTACCCTGCTCACCTTTTTCAAGTTTTATAACCTAGATTTGGGAACTACTCCGAGTGCTTCTGTCTTAGATGTGCGCATAGTCTTCACACTGGACAGGCATTCTTCAGTATGGCGGAGTTGGTATTCTCATTTCCAAAGCATTTTCGATGCAGCTTGTGTTCCTGAAGGGGAACGTCCCTAGGTTACGCATGTAACCATAGTTCCCCGAAGGGAACGAGATGCTGCGTCGCCTGCCATACTTCCTGCAACCCTATAAGCACTTGCTTCGACTTATCAGAAGCTGCCGCTGTTTACTCCAAAGCATCCTGGTCTCCGCGTCACCCCACCCGTGACGTCTCGCCATTCTATTGGACTGATTTCACATGTGCTTTAGGACGTGTTCCCAAAGTGTTTTCGATGCGACTCTTATTTTGATGTTCTTTTCATTCTTTTGTGTCTGAGTTCTAGTTTCCTGTGTTTATTTCCTGTCTCCTTTATTTCCTTGGTTCCTAAAGAAGGTTCCCTTTTTTTTTCCATAGCTACTGATTAGTTTGTCACCTGTGTCTAGTTTTTCATTATCTTATTTTATTTATATTCTTTGGTTTCTTCAGGTCATGGTGCATGTTTGCCAGCTGATTTGTTTTGTTTTTATTTTCCTTTGTTTTTGGAATCTTTCGGAAAATCATCTTTGTTAATTTAAATAAATACAAACTTGTGCAACTGGATCCACTCTTCCTTCCCTGCCTTGCTGTAGCAGGTGTTATGTGAAGAATTGAATTACTGAAACATTTAAAATCTAAAGAAAGACCATTTACTTTTGTTTTTAATGTAGCTGTTTGTTTTGTTCTTTACACAGGTTATGTGGATGTGATCTCACTGCTCAGTCTTGTGAAAGTTTGTCTTCAGCTCTACAATCCTCTAACTCTGTCCTGAGAGAGCTAGACCTGAGTAACAATGACCTGAAGGATTCAGGAGTGAAGCTTCTTTCTGATGGACTTAAGAGTACAAACTGTCAGCTGGAGATTCTGAGGTTTGTAAAGCTTGCAATATAATTTCATATAATAATTCAGCACAGCACTATATCAATTTACATGTGAGCAGTTCATGATCCAGTGTTTTCAGTGTATCTCTGCATTTGAATATGCAACATGCATCAAACATTTGCGCTTTTATTTGACTGGCCATCTTAATAATTTTGACCTTGACAATCACTGTTAGAAAGCTCAGGCAGACCAGCTTAAAAAAGGAATGTTTTAAATGTTTTTGTTATCCAAACAAATATCCAATACGTGCGTAATGGAGTGCAGCAGAGCAGCATGAAGAATACCAAATATTGACATCAGTATCCTGAAGTTACAAAGTTACCATAAACTCTAGTGTTAAAGGCACAATATATACGTTTTTTTTAAATTAAAATATCCAAAAACCATTAGAACAGTGTTATATAGTTAGTTGACTTGTGTACTTACATTATCCCAAATGTTTCCAACAAGAGAAATAAGCCATTTTAACTAGTGTAACAGACCGTGTCATTACGTCGCTTGCCAATTTCCGTCAGTTCATAAAGACTTTGTGAATGATTCAGCCATTCAAACGAATCAATTGAATGAATGATTCAGTGATAAAATCAGTGACATGCCGCCACCCACTGGTGGATTTAGTTTCATTTTTAGTGTATAATTTCAGTTATTTCAGTCATATTTCTGTATTCAAAATTTTATATGTAAAACATTAATCTCCACATGAATGTAGGAATTTAATTGCACTCATGCTACCTCTGAGCCTCATTAAACATCTGAAAAACATCTGAAATCTCTGTAGTACAAATAAATGTATTAATACTAATTTCATATGATTGGTAACTTATTTGTCTTATTCTACTTCTTATTATATTGCAGGGGTTAAAGCAAAAAATAATCTTTTGACTGAAAATTTTTCTTCAACCAAACCCCATTCCACAGCCATACCTGTCACACACCAAGTTTAAGAGCAGCTTTTTTCTTCTTGTAATTAAAAATTTAGGAGCACCTTCTGATCAATAATCAAAAATTCTGATCAAAAATTTGCCTTCCTAATACGAGGTGACATTTGACTCCTTAAAGTGACTTACAGGAGTATTTTCTTTTTACCTTTTGTAATGGCATCATTTTCATCTGTCAAATTCAAAAATGTATGTTTATAATCTTTTTAAAATTTCTATTTAAAACAATATGTAGAATAAGACAGATAAGTTACCAATCACATGAAATTAGTATTAATAAATTAATTTGTACTACAGAGGTGGCACAGAAGAACACAAAAGTGGCTTGTAGGTACATTTTCAGACATTTAATGAGGCTCAGAGGTGGCATGAGTGCAATTAAATTCATACTTTCATGTGGAGATTGTTTTAAATATAAGATTTTGAATACAGAAATATGATTCAAATAACTGAAATTATATGCTAAAAAATGAAACTAAATCCACCAGCAGGTGGCGGCATGTCACTGATTTTATCACTGAATCATTCATTCAATTGATTCGTTCGAACGGCTGAATAATTCAGGAATGAAGCAAGTGACTGTCTTTATGAACTGACGGAAATCCGTCGTAGCGACGGAACTTTAATCCCTGAACACCATTGATTTCCAGTTTTATTTTGTAGAAAACATGGAAACAAAGACAGTTTAATATGTTATGCTTTTTATTAGACAGGTGATGAACACACAGAGTAGCATTGTAATAGAACTTCCAACACACTTGAATATATCTAGTATGATAAAATAGTACTGCTTTACCCCACATACTGTAACCTGGGTTTCAGGTTTTGTTTCATGTTCACTGTTTTCATGTTTTTTATTTTGTTTTATTCATAGTCATGGTCCCTGTCATGTGTTTCCCTTGCCCTCATGTGATCCTGCTATTGGCTGTCTAGTTCATATGTCTTGTTCTCATTGGTTGGATTGTGTCATGTGACCCATTCGTTTGATATTGTCCTCATGTTTCATTGTCCATTGTCTATTTTTTTTCCCGTGTAATCCACTGTTTAGTGAGTTTGTCATGTTTTTCCCAAGCCTAGTCTTGTTAAGTGTGTTTCTGCTCACTTTTGGATTTTTTAAAAAAACTGCACATGAGTTCTCCATCATACTCCCCTTCAGTGGGACTTCGTTACACGCATAACTGGAAGGAGTGGAAGCAGTCGACAGTGACATAATAAAAGCTCCGCTGCTTTCGAGCCGTGTGTCGCGCTCGTCTCTCATTATCAATCGCACCAGCGGCCTCATTCCGCTTCCACGGCTTTCAGCCCCACCCTGCTTTATACTACAGTGATGTTAACAAATCTTTAATATGTTAGCGCATCCATGAACATAATTTCTGAGCAAGTCCCGTCAGATTGCGTTAACTGTGGAGATTAAGACAACAACTCCCATAATTCCACACTATTCATGGTAATCACAGCGTCATCACACTACGTCTTTGTTTCTTGTTTGTTTAGAATATGCGCCCTATAGCGGTGAAAATTACACACTGTGCCTTTAAGGCACCTGACTCACTATCACTTAGCTGAGAGCGCACTGTGTTTCTCACACACACAAAGAGAGAGAGCAAGTCTTACACACCACACAGAATCGACATGCTACATGTAAATAACATTTTTTTGTTGTATTTTCCTGTCAGAATTACATTTGGATCAATTTACATATAGGAATTACATACTTTGGAATTATTTAGTCTTTAAGAACAAACATGAGCCGGTTTCATCGGTAGTGGGTGGAACACTGGATAGTGCTCACCTATTACAGTCCCTGTGTTATGTCATTAATCCAGCAGTTCATCAGACCTTAGCATGTTTCATATTGTTATTAGTAGCAGCGTTTTTACTAGTAGTCATAGGCGGAGATCCCAGTGGGGTCGGGGGGAACAGAACCCCCCCTTATCTGAGGGTTGTCCCCCCCTAAAAATATGATTAAAAACCACGCTGTGTATTGTAAATAATAATGTTTTATACTTTAAATAATTGTGTAAGTAGTAAAACAACGCAAACGGGGCAAAAATGCGTTTTAAGTTTAGAACAGGCAGAGCAGGGTTGAAATGAGCAGTGAAAATTGGACAATTGGACAAAGCAAGATTATAAGTCAGGCTTGAGTGACAAGCGCAAATCGAGAGCAGATACAGAGCGAAAAATCAAGAAAGAAAACAGGCCAGAGGCCAATAAATGTCTGCACTGTGTGCAGCTGGCACGTTGAAGGGAAAAACAAAGACACGAGGGAAACACAGAAATGAGAAAACCGTGATCAAACCCACTTCCTCACCATTTTTAATTCCAATATGTTAATAATTTGAAAACAACAACCACGAAACAAATTTAGCTAAACCAATAACATGTAGAAATAAAATAATAATAATTAAAAAAAAAAGATTGACTTGTTCACATGACAATTAGACATCATAAACAACAATCTTTGTCACTCACTTAATGCGAAGGTTGGTGTTTTTTTAGCATTTACTAAGCTCTGTATGTCAGGCTGAAGTGAAGAAAGTTGCAAGCGGAGATCAGCCTTGATGTTATGCTTATTCTGGTATTTTGTCTTGAGTGCCACCAATGCAGAAAATCCAGCTTTGCATAAGTATGTTGTCAGAAATGGCATCAAAAATCTCAGAGCTTTGTCAGAAAGATTGGGATACTCGGAGAGAGTATGAATCCAAAAATCTAAGATTTTTGAGAAAACTTTCATTTTAATCACTGTGTTTATTACGTTTGAAATATGGATATTTTTCTTACAAAAACGCATGGATTCACTACAGGAGGCCTTTATTCACTACTTTGTGCTTTGTTACTACAAAGTCTCGGCCTTCTGTCAATTTTATGATAAAATACAAACAACAAACGTCTTTTTACGCTCTTTAATTTGTAGTGAGATAATTCGTCTCAGTTCAAGCTGTATATGAATCAATTATATGTTCTTCTTTAATATTTGCAGCACGAAATAAACATGAATATTTGAATGCATGTTGAAAAAAATCAGAACAACTTAATACAAATGAATGTCTCATGAATCGATCAAACAGAGTTTTTAAAAAAGTCAAAAGAATGATGGATGCCAGACTTTTTTTTTTTTTTTGAAAGGTAGGCCTATGGATGGAATTTTCACATTATATAACATGATTTTATTATCGTAATTTTAAGTTTATTCTTAAAATATTATGACGTTAATCTTATTTATATAGTTATTTGTAAATGCGGCACAATTTTTGGCACATCAGCCCAAAAAACAAACAAACAAACAAAATAAAAAACAAAACAAAAACAAAAAAAGTTTTCAGAAGTTTACAAAAAAGTAAAAAAAAATAGTGAGGGGATATTTGAATTATTTGTTAATAAACTAATGTTTTAGTTTGTCAATGTTGCAAAAAATTTATTTGACGAACCTGACTAGCCATCCTCATTGGTCATGCCTTTAGAGAGAAATCAATCTTTACGGATTACATAATGAAAGACTTTTTGTTTTCGATTTGAATTATTTAGTTTTAAAATAGTAATTTAAAGCATTTTATAGATATATTTATCATGTCGGTGAAGAGCTCCTGCTCAAGACCAAGACGACAGAAAGCGCATCCTGTTTGTTTTCCTTATTTTACAAAACCACAAGGTTTTGTTGATATTGTGAGTGCACACAAATACAAGTAGACCCTTTGCAGTTACGAATGATGTATACTCTTATGAGCAAAAATGACGGCGTATTTTTAAGTTTATGCTGTTATTAAAAATAAAATGCAAGTGCTGGTGCTGGCGCCTCCATGTCCTGCAAAGCATGCTTCAGCTTCCACTCTCCGCACAAACTATTGGATTTGCACCTAACAGCGCTCATTTATCTAGGTTAAATGCTTAAATTAATACTGTGAAATGCATGAAGTGTTTTATGTCTGTTTATTTTAGGCAAGTCGTGTTGGTTTAAGAAGGCTAAATTGATCAAACATAATGCTCAACTCACTGTCTGCCGCTGCCGATTGGTCGTTCCTTTAAAAAACAAAAACTTGAATTTAACAAAC